CTCATTCTGAACAACAGTTTTCTTAACCAAAAATGAACATATTAAAATCGACCTGAAAGACTGTGAGGAGTGTTAAGTGGCAAAATATAAGTTAAGATTCGGTCTTTGTGCTGGACTAGGACCTTAATAAATAATTTGTTGTTCTCTCTTCCCCACCAGCACCTTGTAAGGTATCTTGACAGCATTAATTCTCAGTAATTACCTATCAAATCAATGAACATTGTTGAATTTGCATTAAGCATTGAGCTTTTATTTATTTATTTATTTAAAGATTTTATTTATTTATTTGAGAGAGAGCGAGAGACAGAGCAAGGGCGGGGTAGGGGCAGAGGGAGAAGCCAGCTCCTCTCTGAGCCGGGGCCCCCACTCAGGGCTGGATCCCAGGATCCTGAGATCATGACTTGAGCCAAAGGCAAACGCTTAACTGACTGAGCCACCCAGCCACCCTAGCACTAAACTTTTAAACCACTGACCAACAAACATGCAAATGCCCAGATGGCAATGTCTTCATACAGATATCTTCTAGTGTTGAACCTCAATTGTAAGCTTGACATTTTTTATTAGTCTCTCTAATCCACAAATTTCCCTTCCTATATATTTGTATAATTATTTCTTTTCCTCACAATATTCAACTTCATACAATGTCTTCAGTGTCTTATATCTTGGCCCACAGTTTATTTGCTATGATATGTTTTTTGATGCTTTTGCTTTGATTGCTCTATGTCCATTTTAATCCCTTTCACTCCCTTCTTACAAAACACAGTAGTTTTTCTTTATTGGGTCCCACTTTTATCTATTGAATGCTGTTAATTTGTAATCTAAAAATATGTTTATAAAAATATAAATTCTTGATCCCATATTCTATGCACCCTAAACCACTTACTCTCTGCTATCTATATTTCTTTCCTACTTCTTTTACGAAACTCTTTTCCAGTCTGCTCTATAAACATTCCCACCTCTTTGCACAGTTCGTCTGTGCCCAAGGTATTGTATTCCTAATTGGGTTAGAAAACTCCTCTTTATGAGGCCTTTTATGTGTTCTATGCACTTACGGTTGTCGGTAAACAAAACAAACAAAAATAATAAATAACAGGTGGGTAGCTAAATATATAATTCACTGGGAATCAAGCATTTCCAGAGGAGGAAAAGGCTATGGCAGAAACAGTCTACACAGATGACACTGCGTCCAGTAGAAACACAAAAGGTGCTCAACTGTCACTTTTAATAGACTAAAAGCTGTTATTTTTATTAATAAAAAGTAAACATTTTTACTTATCTACCAATTTTTTTCCAGAAATGTGTTGTAATAAATGTTATTATAACTATGTTTTTTTTTTTTTTTTTATAGCACCAAACATGAAATCTCTCTTCTGTCTCATCACTATCTCCTTCTCTGTAGGTACAGAGACAGATGAACCCAATGAAGGATGATTAAAACTGTGTAGGCAATAACCAAAACTTAGAAGTTTCTAATGTAAAGTAAATAATCTGGTTAGGATTCTTTAACCGTAGCAATTCCCTCTTCTCATATCCTACCTCCTACCAGACAAAGGAGGGGCCGGGACGGTGGTGGGCTGGAGCTGGCTGTAGCGCTGACCATGAGCATGTCCCCAGCTCCACATCCCCTGATGTCACCATGTCAGCTTATAATGGCCTGCAATGGGAGTGTGCACGCTATGGAGATCAGTGAATGCTACAAAGCAGGACTTTTCCCCAGAGAGCCTGTGGTGGACTTCGACTAGCACAGCACTGGGGCAGGGCCAGTAAATCTGTGGCAAAGATATGGTGGGAGTTACTTTGCTTCAAGCTTAGAGGGTAATCTCTGATAAGAAGGGGGAAGGCGGATCCTAGGATCTTGACTAGGCTGAGCAGAATTCAGGGATTAATGAACAAGATGCTCTTCTGGGAGAAAAGATCAAGAACGGAGTTAAAAGTGAGACTAGGCAGGGAAGCCTGGAGAAATTCTCTGGGCAGAGAAAGGGGTAGCCACACATTCTTTTCTATCTGACAGTTGCAGTCTCTTAAGGTAATGGAGGGAGGTGGGGCTCATGGGGTTGAGTTTAAAGCCTCTAAGGTGAATGGGCTGCAGCATTAAACAAAAAAGGATTTTTGAGGGTCATAATACTGCCGAGAAAGCAAGGCTCCTGACAAGTAACAGATATACCTGGTGAGACCAGCTTGCTTGTACCTCAGTGCGGCACCATCTCCCCCACACGGGCCTTTGCTTGGGGCCCAACAGCCCCCACTCCCTGCAGGTCGAAGGCACAGCCACAGCCCTGGGTAGCAATGGAGAGCCCTGCGTCCCTGTATACCTGGCTCTAGAGGCCCACCACTCTCTTCCTGGAGAAGGGTAAGGTCTCAGAAGGAAGATCTTATGTACCCAGATAAGAGGAAAAAGGCCTTGGAACACCCAAACCAGAATGCTCATGTTTGTACAAAATGTATAAGCATGTGTTCAGATTAAGTGCCTCCCTCCAACATTAATTCATGGAAAGTATAGAGCTCTTTAGGATGCAAGTAATAAAAGCTCAATTCAAACTTGTGTGAACAAAAAGGGAATGAACTGATCTGTCTCTCTCCTCTTTTGTTGTTCACTAGAATTATTTCTAAACAGATTTTCTCTCACAGAGTGTTCACACGGATGTGTGCTTCAGCATTCAGGCATTCAGCCGAGGAGAGATTGCCTACTTCCCGAAACTTCTGGCAAAATGTCCTCAGGGGGCTTCTCATTGTCTTGTCTGTGGTCATGTGCTCTTCCCTGAACCAACAACCTTGGGCAAAGAAGTACATTTTCTCCTGACCTGGAGTTGGGACCCACATATGGACAAGGGCTCAGACCCCATGAAATGAGAGGGGGAAGGGTGTTTTCCCCAAAGGAAGAGGTACAGACTGGACATAAGACATCCTTTACAGTTTGTCTTCTTATTAGAGTCACAGGGAATTTAGTGATAGTTTCTAAGAGTAGATAAAAGCTTAATTATAATCACTCCATCTAGGGCATTGCTTCCTTTCTTGCTAGTGTTTATAAGCTCATTTTCATTTCCCCCAAACTCTTCTAGAATTTTTCTCTCCTGCACATGCACACTGTTCTTTGTCTATTTTACTGGTCAAGTTCCCAGACAGGCTGCTCAACCCGTGTGTGCCATGCCCACCCTCCTCTTGGCTTCCAGATCTGTCCCAGGGCTGGGCTTTCTTGGTGGCTGGTCTCCTGTGCAATTTGTTTCTGTCAGACTGGCTGAAGCACTTAGGAGAGGCTATGTTGTTTCAGCCAAGAAAATCCATTGTTTAAGTGAGAAGAAGAAGAGACTGCTTTATTAGCAGAGAGAAGCTAATAAACTTACTACCTAAGGTATTATTTTTATTCATAACTCTGAAAGTTTAATGAATCAAAGGCTAGGTTATATGCTCTGTAACTTTCTATAGCCCACATTAGGTAACTTGTAAAATGAATAGTACCGAAATGATAGAATAGCAATTAATTAATCTGAAAATGCAATTATGGACTTCCTGCTAAATATAGGAACACAATACAATAATACAGTAATAGAATAGGAATATAATTCCTAGTAAATAATAGTAAATGATTACAAAATTAAACGATTTCATTTAGTTCGAATTTTGAGGATCAAAGAAGTTTTGCAACTTTCCATTTTAAACCATAAACTTGCTTAATGGAAAAAACTAAAGGTCGGCATTACTGTGGACAGTAATGACCCAAAACCTAGACTAATTATAGCCGTCACTGAAGGGTTTGTTTACTTTTTGCCTGTGCTTCCTGACGCTTGTATGTGACATTGGCATTGAGGAGGAGGAATTCATTTGTGATAAGAACAAGTTCTGATAACTGGAAAAATGACTAAGGTGAAGGTTTCATATTATTACAAGTAAGCGGCACATTTCTGTACGCAACAATATGAAAATAATTCCTTATCTTTTAATGTTCGTACCTCTAAGTTATTAGCCAACTTGTCTATCTTAGACTAATGAATATCAGCTAACTTGGGAAATAATTTGCCCCTCCCCTGACTGCACTTCCTGGTTTGCCTGGGATTCGCCTGCTTGGTGCCTGTTTTTCCAGTTGTAATTTTAAATGTACTTCCTTGCACTCCATAAAGTGTTTTAGTTCAGAGAATGTAAATAAGCTAAGTTTATGGTACATATGAGAATTATTTTTGTTTTGAAATGATGGAATGCTTGCCAAAAACAGTGGAATTGGGTAATGAATGGGGTCATAAAAATAGCTTTCTTCCAAAATCTCTAACATTTGATGAAACTATAGATCTGTACATTGCCCTCAGATGGCTGAGAGAGAGTCTATGAATATAGGAATTGACTTGCACTTGATGATCACTCTTGTTCAGCATGCAAAACAGCAAACATCTTAGACAGGAATGAAATGTCCACCAGTGGGAGGAAATTTATCTCAAGACTGGAAATCAGTCTTATCTCAGAAATGATTTTCTGTTTTATTTTCTAATTAAAAAAAATCTAGACATGCAGACAATGTGCCATATATCAATAAATTTCAAATCTTTAAGACTTCCAGAAAATGCTTTATAATTTCCTTTGGAAAAACCATACGAAGAGATTTAGGCATGGAGGAGAAGCCAAAACCATGCACTATGTCATTGAAGATATCTGGGGTTCAAATCTCAGCTCTACCACTTATTATTTCAGACTATGGTACTTTGATTTTAAATTTCATTATTAACATACTGTGCATGCATAGAAACACACTCTCACATAAAGCTTCCGGGAAAACACAGGTTAGCACATGATCATTTCTTTCCTTAGTTATAACATGCACTAAGGTTAATATTTGTCTGTCTTGTAGTGTGTTTTCCTAGTGTATTTTCTTCTCCCTTGGAGTTATAACCCAATCTGTGTGCACCCAGAAAATCGTCTATGGCTTTCTTTCAGTGTTTACATACTTAATTCCTGAGGTGAAATACCTGCTAAAATGATTTATGTTTGCCTTTGATGGACAGCCAACAACATAGAAAGTCTAAGATAGTCTCCATGGCAGAAATACTTATTACTTTGTAACCTAATAGTTATTTGTGTTGCCTTTTAGTGAGGAAATGCGGGGAGGGTAAAACTGAATCTGTTCAGGTTTAAACATTCACTGATACTTTTTTTTTTTTCAGTATTGTACAAGCTTAGCTGGGGAAAATATGTACATTCGTTTTGAAGCCATAATCTTACTTTCAGTTGGTATGCCGGTCCATTGTGTAAATACGAATTTTTAAGCAATTTAGCATTTCATCGAAGTAACAGGGCACTTGATTTTCTTTCATCCATATGAAAACAGTTAGGAAAAAGTGCCACTTATCTTAAATAGTATTTGTCAGATTTTCTTCATCAAACTTGGTAAATACAGATCTCTTGACATTTTGATGAATTTTCATCACTCTGTGGTAAACCTAAGTGACTAGGCTGTGGCCCGTGAACAGCTTTTGTTTCTATGTGACATTAAAATGTATTTAAAAAAAAACACGATTATAATGAATATTCAAAATTAGATTCATTCTCCAGCATGTGCACAATAGGTCAGAAGTCGTGGCTGGAGAAGAACACTTACTAGTCAATCTCGAGGTTTTATTATTTCTTATGAATCTCTTTTCACATGGTTCAGAGATATAACTATCAAAGAGGAAAGCCAGCTAACTATATACACGTTTCGGTTTACCTAGACACTTAGAAAATTCATTTCACATGTGGTTAAGTTAAAAGTTGGTGTTTCTCCCTAGCTGTATATTGTCTCGACTCAAAATTTCTTGGACCGTATGTTCAAAACAGCTTGAAACAGACATTATAAATGAAGAATAATCAGTTACCATAGTTCAGAGCATTTTCTTCAAATACTCTTCAATTTCTGGTTCCAGCAGAATTTTATTTACTCAAATATAAATCGTTTTTTTTTAATACTCTAGAGCCTCATCCTCAACAGAAAACCTCATTTTAGTACAATTGTTTTTATACTCTGTCACAGGGTGATGATGATAAATGGAAAATGATTAAGTATATTGTTTGTCAGATTTCTTCTTTCACAATTCAATAAATATTCCCAGAGTCCTCCCTTGTCACCTTACTTATAATGATTATCAAGTGGAAGATATGCTTTAAATTCAAGAACGAAATCTAGTTTTCATTTTGGTTGTTCTTCTTTGCCAAATATATAAAATATGAATTTAAACTTTGGATGCCTACAAACCAAGTTAATCACTTAGATATATTAAATCTTTTATTTGGGGACCTTGAACTATCCAATACTTACATGAGGAAAAGAAAACACTTTGAGCTTTAATTCAGTGGGAGGTATATCTGTAATTCATTGAGAGGCATATTCATAATGTAATTCTTTTATGTTGGCTGCACTTTTAAGGTTTAAATCACTGGTTTCCACATGTAATGCACTTATTCAATGAAAATTTATTACATTTACTAGTTATTAAACACCAAAAAAAATCACCAATGAGAATGATGAGAAACAAAAAAAAGAGAATAAAAGCAGATTCTTTTCCTATCACCCACACTGACCTTCACGTTCCCTGAAATTTCCACTTTTTTTTAACTTTTGTGCTATTAAATTATAAAAATTCTGTTAAAAAGCTAATTATTATTTATTTGTCTGTTTATTTCTAAACTTCCTTCTTCAGAATAGTCTTAAAGTCACTTACACATTTATCCTAGCAAATACAATAAGGCAATAAATTAGAGATATTTAACCAAGAAGAGAATATCATGGGGGAACTTAGGATTTGTGTGACCTACATTTTTATGGCATTTTATGGCTTTCAAGGTCCTTTTCTCATTTGGATTTTTGTTACTATATTCTTTCTGTGATCCCGTGCGTAAGCAATCCAAAAATTTGATTTCCTATTTTTTTATTAACACCGATGAAGTGTTTCTACCGTTTTTACAAGTGAGGAAATGAAGGTTCGGAGACTTCAAATAACTTACCCAAAGTCACACAGCTACTTAATGATAGAGCTGGAATTCGAACTTGTCTGCTTGGCTCTACAGTGTGCTACTAAGAATAGTAAACAGCTTTATAAGCTGAAGATTTGGTCCCTGTGTACTCAGCCAAACCTTTGTGTCTTTAGGGTCCAGGCTAAATCTCTTCTTTAATGGGGCCTCTCCAACAATTAAAGCTGTTTCAAATGATCAGTTTTCCAAGTTATTGTACATGGCACTCAATTTGACATTTAATTATAGATTATTTCCCAATATTATTTATGAGTGCATGCATTCCTGACTTCTCTCCCCTATGAGATTTAAGTGAAAGCAAATTATCAGTGCGTTTTGTACACTTGTTCACTCTAAAATTACCCTTGATTTCTGAATGATACAACCTTGCCCTCACCAAGGTTTAAGCAATAACTCTACTATGACTGGTAAGGTATGGTAGATAAATTCTGAAGAGGACTCCCATGATCTCTGCCCCATGGTCCTACAACCATGATTAGGTTACATTACATGGCAAAGATGATGGTGTCACTCCCTTGATTTGGTTATATTTTACGGCAATAGTGAACAGATTTTGCCCGTGTACTTAAGATCTCAAAGGAGTTGACTTTAATCAAAAAGGAGATTATCGTGGTTGGGCCTCATTTAACCAGGTGAGCCTTTTAAAAGAGATTCTAGATGTGAGTGAAAATCTACTGGCCTTGTAGAAGCAGACAGCTATGCTGTGTTATGAATTGTGTATGGAGAGGAGCCGTCTCTAGGAATTAGGGGTCTTAGCTCTATAACCATAAAAACATGAATTCTGCTAACAAGCACATGAATTGGAAAAAGAACCCCCGAGCCTCAGAAGGGATAGTAACCCCACCTGACACCTTGATTATGACCTGGTGCAATCCTGAATAGAGAATTCACCGAACATGTGCCTGACCGATGGAAATTGTGAATTAAAAAAAAAATGTATTTTTTTTTGAGCTGCTAAGTTGGAGCAATTTGTCACACTGTCATAGAAAACCAATGTGTAATGTCATGTCTAATATACTATAAAACTTGTTAATTTATATGAAAATTATATATAGTGCATATATATCCATATATTATATACATATTATTTAGGTACACACATACACACACACACACACACAGAAGACATGCCTAGTCTAACAGCAACATCTTTGTTTTAGAGTTTTAATTGCACAACTTTCACCAAAATTGTGGAACCACTCTAGAAAGGTTATGAGAAAACATATTTTCAAGGAGATTGCCTGCTGATTAAGAATAATCTCAGGGGGGGAAAAGAAAGTTGACATTAAACTTAAAAGTTTAACGTCTATTTGTTGAAAGTAAAAGAGAAAAATTTAAGCAAAAACTGGCCTACAAGATCTATAAAGTATAAATAATGTAGTGTAATGTTAATATTTCAATGCCCCTGCTTGAAGATTTTTATAAATATATCTTTCTACTATGCTACCATTTCCCCATCAAATTTTAATATGTAAAATAAATTTGCATCATAGAAATAAAATTCTCAACTATAACTGTATAAGACAAATATATGACATATCCATAGTCAGAAATGTGTTAAATTTATAAGTATTTCATAAGTAGCCATGCGTGATTCCTAAGCCCCTGTCACTTTACAGTTGAATAAAATATATTTTGTAGGCTTTTGGGGAAATTGTGTAAGGGCAAAGAAAACTAGTGAATCATGCCTTCAGAGTTTTGTAGTAGCATATGCACAATATTACTACACTGTTTATGCAATTTCTACATATTACCCAAATGGAATTATGATTTTTTTCTAATTCAATTTGTCCTCAAGGTTTTATTTCTCCATCAGTGATATATTGGAAAACTCCTGCAGGCAATAAATATACACAGGATGAGTTGTAATTTTCCACTTCTAAAGTAATATGTCTGGTAACTGTCAATGTCCCCAGATCAGTTTGGATGTCCACAGGGAAAGTATTTATTTGCACATTAAACATAAGTAACCTACATTATAGACATACCCTTTTTAGTTTTCCTTGTTGAGGATGTTCAAGTAACTACTACTAAACTAATGTCGCTTTCTCCCTAAAGAATATCATTTCTTGGTATGAGTTGTAAGTTGATGTCCTCATTCTGCCCTTAATTAGAGATGGATCTTTGAGCTGTTCATATATTCATTTACTTCAGCTCCACAAGGAGAGAAATTATGACTGTAGTAGAGGTTGCTAGGAGGATCAGATATCTATGAAAGAGCTTTGCCAGCTACAAACCCATTCACAAGCCAGAGTTGTCTGTCTTTTACATGATTTAATACATAGCAACTAAACATATATCCTCCACATGGGATCTATAGTTTAGCATTATATTTTTCATTATGTCCTATTATTAGCTGTTGTACACTGATTGACTTTAAGATCCCTTGGTGGAACCTTCTTCTTGCTATGCCTCTTCCCAACCCTTCCATGTTGTAAAAAGTCATACCTTCCTTACACCACTAGGGGACCATGGACCTATTTATTTCTACGCTGGTACTTTGATTTGTCGGCCCCTGCTCCTGGTCTATCAACTCCTCAGAACAGGAACAACAGTGTCTTGTGCCTTATTTGTCTTGTCAAAATCCAGCAGAGCACATAATGAATAGTAATCACTCAATAAAATGCTTTCGATTTTCCTTTGAAAACAAAATTATGAACAAATAAGTAAATATTTTTAACAGTCAGATCTAAGCAAAGATTATGGAGCAATGTCTCCCCTTGGTCATCAAGCTAAACTTTCTGAAAGGAATATTATTGATACTAAAATGATAACAACAAAAAATACCCTTAAGAACTACAGGAGCAAAGAGTTTGAAGTGTGTCAAGCCACTGTAGAAAGGCTAAGATAGTCTCTTGGGTGTAAAAAAGGGAGACAACTGGATATTTTGGCAGTTGAGGAAGAGTTAATACCACTTCTTAAATCTGACCTTAGGTTTTAAATTGTGATTCTGATGTTAATCATTATTAGACATAAGCCTCACACCTCATAAATTTAGTCAGTCTGTTTCCACTCTCCAGAGCCACGTTAAATAAAAAACAGTTTCACGAAGCATACATTTCTAGAGGGTCCTTTCTCCACTTTTCTCAAATTATGTTTCTTGTTGTACAAGCTACTTTTCATGAGCTGTCTGTCATAAAGCCCTAAGTATAATAATGCAGTTGTTTGAGTCAATAAATGACCCATCTCTCTTTCAGTCAACTTGGTTTATAAATAAAACTGTGTCCCCCGCTCCTACTGATTTATATCATGCTTAGATCACAATATCAATTCAAACAAAGAAACGGATGTTCCAGGAACTGGGCATACAAATGTATTATTTCTTCTCTTTTAAATAAGTAAAAGGAACTAATAATAATGTAACATTGTTGCCTACCACAAACAGTAGCCTGG